ATTCCATACTTTGTTGTTATTAGGCCCTGAACATTTTGCCATGAGAAGTGGTCAAATCACCATCCTTGGAGATATTTAAAAGACATGTAGATGTGGGACTTAGGGACATGCTTTAGTGGTGGACTTGGCAGTATTAGTTTAATGGTTGGACTCTGATCTTAGAAGGCTTTTCCAACCTAAATGATTTTAAGATTTGAGATAAAGCATGCCTTTGTCAAAGTTTCAACACATTCATACATCATTCTTCAACTAAAATGCAAAATCCCAGTAGATGCCTCTTCATGTTTCACTCATTTGTCTCAGAAATTTAAAAAAAACTTGGGAGCTTTTGAGTTGACATTCAGGCTGTTGCTGAAGCTTTTTTAAGGGGAGGGAGGGAAGAGAGGAGGAAGAAAAAAAAAAATATACAAAGATGCCTTCTGAAAACTCGCTTGTTACATGGGCAAAAAAAAAATCACAGACTTCTGAATCCTAATATGAATTTCACAAAGGCAAATCTTAAAATCGGGGAAAATACCAGTCATATTTTGAATATTTTCAAAATTCCTATTTCACCTTTCCAAAAATATCTCTTTAGGATTAAAATATAAAATTCATTAAGAAATCCAGCTACTCTGATTTTGTAAGAATAAAGAAACTACATTTTAGAATTAATCTAATCAACACAATACAGCACATTTGAAGCAAGCAAACTAGCTCCCTAATAACATATTTCAATACAATTTAAAATATCATAGAGACCTTCACATGACAAAAAACTATGCTGTAACACTAAATCTTCAGCAATAAATTAAGTTTCTAAAAGCCAAACACGAGTAGCTAAGGTCCAAGGCAATTTCTGTACCAAAGTGATTTAACATTACTTCACTCTCATGCAGGACATTTTAATTTTCACCAATGAAAGTGTAAATAAAACTAAAAATATTTACTGTTGCAGCAGACTGCAGTACATGACAATTATTTCAGTGTATATTATGTGAGTTTTCTTTCAGCAAATAAGGAATTAGTTACAGATCAAATAAGTATTTTTATCTCACTAAATATAATTATCTGAACTACAGAAGGTGTTGTGTCTCTATAGCTGCTTCAATTTGCTTAGTTGTAGCACATTGTTTAGAGGACAAGATCAGCTCCCTGCATTACTGCATTTTAATAGATTCTCAACTTGCACTGAATGATAACTCAAAAAAACCCAAAACAAAAACACACAAAAAACCAAACAACAAACCAACCATAAAACCCCCTACATGTATAAAATCTTAAATGGAGTGACAGCTACAAAGAACCTAGCAATCTCTCAGTTTTCAATGGGACTGAGTTACAAGATGTCTGAAAGAACTGTAATGAAAAGTGACCTTTACTCATCTCAGTTGTCATTTGTAAATCAGTTAACAATATTTACCACTTCCTTCTTTTGGGAGAGTGCTGCTATTGGAAACGAAGTAAGTACACAAACGCTTGGCAAGTTCAAAGGCCAAAAAAGAGAGTGTTTTATTTGAGCATCTGATATTTATAGAATTCCAGAGGTGACCGGGAATTGGAGAGTGGAAATACCACCTCTCCAGCCACACTGGTCAAACCAACAGTCCATCAATTCTCTCCTCCCACAAAGAAGAATGCAAAACAATTGTTATTTACATGAACAGTGCATGAGAATTCCAGTAGAAATATGTAAACAGATCAGAAGGCTGAAGAAATTTTATGAGAACTTTTAAGACTTTCAAAAGAACTATAAAAGAAAACTTAACACTTTTAAAAATCAGGGCAACAGGAGAGGTGACCTCAGAAGCTTCAGTAGTTCTACAGAATAACTTCCCTTTTGCTATGGCTTTGATCGGTCCTACTGCAACATTATTTTTAACCTAACACAGCAAAGTCTTTTGTTTCAGTATTTTTTATTCCTATAGCAACAGGCTATTGCTCTATTCTAAATAGAGGAACATGATTCCCTTTCCCAATCATGTCTCTGAAGGGTTTCCAAATAAATTATAGATGTTCCTTTTGTTCCAGTGTTCCTGTTCCTCTAAGGACACCAGATCTGTCACGAATATATTTTAGCACATACCCGTTAAAAACTATCTTGACCTCGAAATACAGAAATAATTATATATACACAGAATATACAAATGGAAGAACCATTGGTGAAAAAAAAAAGAGCAACCAACCCATATATATAAACTACCATTTAATTAGGCAAAATGAAAAAAAAATAGTTAATTTTGTTCAAGCATTGAGAATGGGACTGAGGTGTGCTGTGTTTGTTTTGGGGCAGCTGGACATTCCCATGACTGTACCCATACTGCAGCAACAACAGAAAACTTTTGTCTGCGGTTGTTACAACCATTCCACTACCCTGAAAACAGGATTCACATCAATATATGACAGTGTCCTCAAAACACTAAAGTAATCAATCCATCACTATCTAAATCAGCCTGAAATTCTCTCTCCTATGAGTAAAGGTTCTGCAATTTACACTTAAAAATTATCAATGGCAGGTCCTTACATGCAAGGCTTCTTTAATAGAATTTATGTAGTGTTAAGCCATATTCACCAGTGTTTAATATTAGAAGTGAAATTACAAAAAAAAAAAAAAAAACAAACCTTCAAAACTAAGTTATCAATGCAGTTCTCAGTGACTTTTCTGAGAAAAAAGCTATTTTTAGGGAAACGTTCTTAGGCCAATTCAGACTACTTTGTTTATTTATTTTAAACTCAACACTAATTATTTTATCCTGTTGCAATAAAAAGGAAGGACATTATCAACTTTAAATTTACTGGCTTTTCTTTGCCTTTCCCTTACACTTCATGAAGTTTCACAATTATACTTTACACACCCTATATTACTTTTCTCTGCTTGCTGTCGTGACAAAATCTCACACAAATGTCATGGGAAATAAATTTTATCAGTAGTAAAAATTTTATTAAAAGCATTTCCAGATGCATGAAGTACCTAAGTTTTGCTAACTTATCATTAGAACAACAGAGAACAAAAAAAAAATATTTGAAAATTAATCTATATTTTATTTTCAAATTTAAATCATGGAGATTTTAACTCATGGAGACAAAGCCGTTTACATAGTGTTAGAAAAAAAGAGTACAATCAGATACAAAACCAAAATACAAACCCTAATGAATCACGTCTAACAAAGCACAGAAATGGTGCATATTGAGGTTTGTGCACATAAGATCCCTACCCTAGAGACATTATCATCCCTTTTGTCTGACATCTCAACTACAAAATCTCAAGGGAGTCACGAACATATGTGTCACTGTAATCACTTAGTTACTTTTTGCATGCACATAAATAGATTACCTGCAGTGTTTGCCACTGTTGCATGTAGCAATGTTGGATGATTTATAATTTTGATGCACACCAATGCAAAGCTGGATTTTTAGGCCCAGTGTTTGATATACTAGGTATACTTGCACCATATATTCTTTCTAGGCAGACAGATTGTTCCTTGCCTTGAAATCTTTACAACCTAATGCCTGCAAAATTCAGAAGATTTAGCACACACTCATGAGGGGGGGAAAAAAAAGGCTGAATGATCATCCAGTCTATCTCACCTTCCTGAAGGCAAGACCTCCTAGGTAATCCTGACAGTTATCTGTCTTGTCATGCTTAACTTACTTTCATGCAGCTATTCAGGTATGTAGAAAGAGAAATGTGCATATACACACGCCTTCAGATTCAGCAGATGGAAGAACACAACACTGAATATCTACTGACTTTGTTAGGATGCCATGGCAAGGTCCAACTGAAAAAAAATGTGATTACAGGAATATGGCCCAAAATACACAATCTAAAGGAGAAATAAAATAAGCTACTGCAGCAAGTATGCATACAGATATACAAACACATTAAAAAACAAATGTTAACTAGGAAAATTACTCTTTAACAAATTCTTTATCAACCATCAAATCTATTTTAGATGCAGTGTAGAGTCAAAGAACACATAACTTAGGAGCTTTCCCCCCATTATTCTGCACTCACACACACAGTTTTAGGAGACTTCCACCCAAATCAATGAACTGCTTCGTTAGCTTACTTCTCACCAAAAAGAAAAAAAAAGCAGGTTGCTTAGTAAAATTCATAAAACATAAATAAATTTATTTTATGCTTCACCATACATTGCATCAAACTAAACTGACAGGATTTTCTGTAGTGTGCATGCTTTTTATATTGATTACCTCTTTCAAATCAAACAAAAAATCCAGCACACTGGTAGAAGTATACCTTCCTCAATGACTGTTATTAACAGCTTCATGTCACCTAATTAAGCCATAAATTCAGCAAAAATTAGGAACTACATAATAATGCCATTTCCTCATTTTGACAAACTTCTCATTATTCAAGGCCCATTTTTGTCAAATGTATCTCCCCAAAGTTAAAGACATTTTTAACACAACAGTACTCTAGAAAGTCTTATTTAAAAAGAGCCACTAAGCATACTAAAGCACCTGAGAACCCCATAAGCACCATAAAGTTGCGTCTGACAAAATACATAGTAGTACATAAGCCTTCCACATTAGAATTACAGGTAAGTACAAGAGTACAAAAATATTAGAGGTCTAATCAGAGCCTCTAAGTCAACTACCAACGCTATCAGAGGCTCCAGGTCCTCTTCCTCCACCAAGCCCTACTCTGCCTTCCTTGAGATGCTACAAATATTAGAGCCTCTCTACAAACCCTACATTCAAAGGGCAATCCAAAACCTACAGGTTTCCTTCCGCTCAACATCCAATCACCTTTCCCACCTCTCCTAAATCCCGAGCCTTTTCCAGTATGCGCCCCTACCCCTAAGCTACATAACAGTCCACCGTCCCCCACAACGCTTCTGCCCCAAACCTACAGCAACACTCACCCAGCAGCATCCTTGCTCCCATCCCACCCGCGCCCTAATGCCACTTACGTTCCCCTTTCCCATCAACAGCGTCCATATGCCCCCAAATAAGCGGTATCCCGTCAGCCACCCCCTACTCGGCGCGCCCGGCCGCACCTCACGGTCCTTGAGACCCAGGAGCAGCACCTCTTCCATGAGGGTGAGGCGTGTTTCCTTGGAGTCGCCCTTCTCATCGTCGCCGGGCTCGTCCCTGCGGCCTTCATCCTCAGAGCTGCCTCCCGCCTCCCGCTCCTTGGCGGCGGCGGCGTTGCGAAAGGCCTCTGTCCGGCGCTGCACCAGCCCGGAGCTACGCTGGGTCAAGGAAGTCATGGCTGGAGGCGGTGGAAGGTCAAAGGCCCGCGCCACGGGGAGAGGAAATTGGCGACAGATCGGGAGGGAGAAAGAAGAGACGGCAGCCGCTCCTGCCTCCGCCCTATCCCCACGGGGTCAACGGCCAGCCGCGGGGAATCATGGGGAGCGGGATTCGGCCGAAGCAGTGACGGTGGAAGCCGGCATTCCCCGCCTGCTGCGGCCGAGCTGGCGGAGGTAACTTCTCCAATATGGCGGTGCAGGCTGATGTCAGCGGAGGATGTGGTAGTGGCAGGCGGAGGGGTACGACCGGAAAGTGCCGCGGACGGCAGGAGCCCCTCACGGGGCTGGAGCTGTGGACAGAGCCTCAGGGATGCGGCCCCCTCAGCCTTAGGGAGTGCGGGTGGTGCCGGCTGTTATTGACTATTACTAATCATTAGCCAGGGCTGTGGAGGACGATTAATCCAACGCTCAGGGCGGAGGGGTAGGGGGGCTGGAGAGCTGTTGCCCGCCGCGGCATAACCCGGGGGCTGGGTAGTACACTCTTATTACAACCTTAAATCAGCTGGATTTAATTTGTAGCCCCAAGTCTGATTGCTAGTGCAGCCCCCAGGACTAAATTAATCTACATATATATATATATAGAAACTCAGTAACTAAACTTAGATGAGCACACAGAGCTCTCAACAGTCTTGTCTTTAAACTGAGTAAATGAAGTCCCTCGTCTCTGCTGTCAATGAGGCATCTTTTCAAACCTTGAGTCCTTTTGAGCGTGGCGTGCCAAAAACTCAAAACTACTTATCAAGGCTGAATCCTATATATATTTCTAGGTAGCATATTTTATTAAAGATTAAAAATGCTTAAGATGCAAGGATCACCTGTACTTTTTAGTCTATGTGAAAAACACCAATCACTTGTTTTAACATTTTAAAAGTTTCATAGTAATAAAATAGTTATAAAAATAGTAATAAAAATTAGAGCAATAAGAATTTGGACAATCAGAGTTAGGACAATAAAGGACAATAAAAAGCAAGGAATTATGAACGTTCGGATGCTTTCCTCTTGAAAACATGACTCGCCAACAAAGGATTAACCCTTAAAAGCAATAGCCTGTTGCATATTCATATATCTCATACATGATGCATAAATTCTTTTCAAACAAAGGGTGTTCTCTGGTTATCGTCAATTTCTTCCTCTTAATCTTGGTGGCTCCTTAAAGAGGGAGAGGAAGTGGAAGAATGTTTGTCTTTTCCGATGAGGCAGTAACTCTTAGGTGTCTTGTTGCTGTTTTCTCTGTGCGAAGAATTTCTTGATTATCTCATATATAGTACTACAAAATAACTTTCCAACATAACACATATAGTATTCAATTTAATGTTTACGAAGAGCAAATCATTTAATATGCATTTTTCACAGTTTACAATTACGATATTGTGTTTGGCCATTTTGAGATAACATATAGATTTTTAAAAATAATATGTATAATATGTATCTAAGATATAAATAAAATATTTATATATAAATAAATATAAATATAAATATATATTTAGGTGCACCTTCTTTACCAAGAGCTCCCAGTCATTTTGCAAGTCATTCCATTATTTCTCACACCCTCAATTCTTGCATAATCTGCTAATGTGACATGGTGATAATTCAGTATAGCTTCTTCAAGACCATTGATAAAAAAGAATAGCAGACCGACAAAACTGATCCCGAGAGGATCTGAATCACTCACACAAATGTTTGCTGATTGTTCCTCTTCTGTTTGGAGGCCTGCCAATTATTCAAAGTTTACTTAGTGTGTGGCATTCTGAATTTTTTATCTTTCTAGTTGTTTTAATTAAAATGTCAGTTTGACACTGGCCAAATGCCAGACACCCACGGAAGTCACTCGCTCACCCTCCCCTGCTACAGCTGGGCAGAGGAGAGAAAAAAAATTAAAGTGTTCATTAGTTGAGATAAGGACTGGGGGAAAACACTCCAAGGGCAAAACAGGTTCAGCTTAGAGTTGCAAAGTGAATTTATTACTAACAAAGTCAGAGGAGGATAATAAGAAGTAAAATAAGCCCTCAAAACCACATTTTTTTTACCCCAATCCCTCCCTCCTTCCCACCAACAGCTCAGGGACACAGGGCATGGAGGTTTTGGCCAGTTTGTCACCCAAGGTTTTCTTCCACTGCTCAGGGAGAGAAGTCCTTCCCCTGCTGCACCATGGGGTCCCTCCCACGGGAGCCAGTACACAAGAGCTTCTCCAACATGGCTCCAGTCTCGTGAGCAGAGTCTTCCCAAAACTGCTGCAACATGAGTCCCTCCCATGGGCAGACAGTCCTCCCAAAATTGCTGCGGCATGCATCACTCTTCCACAGGGTGCAGTCCTCCAAGGACAGGCTGCTCCAGCCTGGAAGCAGGGGCCCCCTCCCTCCACCAGGTCTCCCACAGGATTGCAGCCTCCTCCAGGAATCCACTGGCTCCATCGTGGGCACCTCCCCCACGGGCTGTGGGTGAGTCTTTGCATCCCCCATGGACCTCCATGGGCTGCAGGGCAACAACCTGTTTCACCATGGTCATCACCACGGCCTGCAGAAGGATGTCAGCTCTGGTGCCTGGAGCACCTTCTCCCCCTCCTCAACTGACCTTGGTTTTTCCATGTTGTTTCCCTCACATCCTCCTATTCTCTGGGTAAAGAAAAAACTGTGCCTCACTTTGTTTTGATTTTCTTCTTAAATATGTTATCATAGAGGCATTACCAACCTCTCTAATTGGCCCAGCTTTGGCCAGCAGCATGTCCATCTTCAGAGCCATCTGGGATTGGCTCTGCTGGACATGGTGGAAGCTTCTAGCAGCTTCTCATAGAAGCCACCTCTGTAGCCTCCTGCTACCAAAAAAACAGGCCGTGCCAAACTGTTATAAATACATATTGTGAAAAATGCATATTATATGATTGGCCCTTCGCAAATATCAAAATGAATACTGTATGTGTTATGTTGGAAAGTTATATTGTATTAATTTCTTTGTAGTACCTTTTTAAGTAGTGTGGTAAATATAGTTTTAGGTTATACCATAATATTAAAATAGAAACTATGTGATATAAGATACTTTTTCTAACTAGCTCAAGGAATGGTTAAGATAACCAAGAAATTCTTTGCATACAGATAACAGCAACAGGGCACCAAGATTCCAAGAGAAGACTTATTGTCTCCTTATTGGAACTATTCAGACTTCTTCCAGACTTCTAGGTGCAAAAAAATTTATTTACAAGATGGGGGGGGGGGGGCAGAAATTAAGCAGAAGACATCCTTTGTTTCTTTGTTTGAAAAGAATGTTTGCATCATGTATGAGATAAATGAATATGCAACAGGCTATTGCTTTTAAGGGTTAATCCTTTGTTAGTGAGGTGTGTTTCTATGGCAGAGTGCCAGATACCTGGACATCCGTAATTCTTTGCTTTTTATTGTCCTTTATTGTCCTAACTCTGATTGTCCAAATTCTTATTGCTCTAATTTTTATTACTGTTTTTATAACTTGTTGGAACTCAAAATGTCCCTCAGACATTTCTGGAGGTTCCAGGCCCTGGTCGGAGGCATTTGAGACCCTGGCAGGCAGCTGTGATTTTGAGTTTGAGCCATGGAATGAGTTACCAACTTTGAAGGTGGAACAAGCAGTCACAAAAGTTTAGATATTATAGTAGAAGTAGTTACAAAGTAGAGGGGAGAATTTTTTAGTATTGTACAGGGGAGTTTTAGCACCTGTACAGGGTGGTTTTTACTTTGTACATGGGGGTCAGAAGTTTTAAGATGGAGGAATGTAGGCCGGTCCTGTTCCTCCTCTTTCTTCTTCCTTACCTCCATGTTCTTGATGATGTTGGCACTTACGGATTGGTTTATAGTAGAAAAGCACCATTTAATATAGGTAGTAGGTATTGGGGAAAAACTGTAAACATGTATCACGTAATGTATCATATAAAAGATAGCAGCAGCCCTGGGCGGGGGGAGAGAAGAAGAAGACACCAGACAGAGAGGGTGTCAGAGGTGTGTGTGTCTCTGCCTGAGCTGCTGACCAAACCGCAGTAGCCAGAGAAGACAATCTTTTAGATAGCTTACAATAAACTGCCTTGAGACCGAACAACAAGAGGCTGCAGAGTTTTCTTTGGAAGCACGGGTTGGAGGAGAGACTTTACCACCACACGGAACCCCTGGACCAGGACGGGGTTCTGACAATAACTATTTTATTACTATTAAACTTTTAAAATTTTAAAACAAGTGACTGGCATTTTTCACGCATATTATGTTGTTGGCTTTTCGCAAATATTAGAATGAATGTTATATGTATAATGTTAAAATAACTTTGCTTTTATTTCTGCTATGAACAAAGACATAGTAGCAGTGGTAGCTGATAGTTATGAGTGAACTGTCTGTTTGGTCAGGATAACATCCAGCAAACGTGTAATGTGGACCCTGCTACAGATATGCCAACTATCAGCACTCACAATCTGAAGACAGTGTGGACCAAGGCCCAAACTGAAGTGATAAGGAAAAGGAGCCAAAACCACAGCCAAGAAACACACATGCTCTAAAAAGGCAGACCCAAGGAGGGGCCATGTAAAATAGTTCTGGGAAAATGTAAACTAGCTTATGGATATGCATAAGGGTCTATGAATATGCAACAGACTGATGTAATAGAAAAGATATTTAAGGGGCATCCCAGAAGGTGATGTTGTGCTCTCGGCTGAGTACCAAGATGTAGCCGGCCGGCCATAATCCTTGGCCTATTAACAGAAGATATCTCCCCAGAGGGAGGATTGGTTGTGGAAGAGATTAAGAAAAACATGCTCAATTAACAGAAGCTAACTGCCCCATCAGATAGGAATAGAATAAACACCCCCATTTCCAACCTAAGTATTTGCTCAAAGAAGAGATACTGTTGGGAAAATATTTAATTGTAACAAATTGTGTTTAGTTTTGTTGAGGCTGAGACATCTCAAGAGTCAAAAATAGTTAACAATTAGTTCAGAGAGTTAGAGGGAATGAGAAGGGGGTGGTAAAACAAGGCCCTGCCTAATTGCTACAATAGGTGGAATATGTAAAAAGTATTTTTTAAGAAAGGATATTCTTTGATGTTTCATCTTTGTAACTTTCTAGCCTAATCAACATGAAGGAAGATTTAATCCATGAAACAGAGAGCAGCTGACAAGCTATGAGTGATGTCCAGGTATTAGATAAATAAAATTTAGGGCTTGACATCCTTCAGTGATCTCAGAAGGGGAAGGAAGGGGGGGGAAGGG